AGAACTGAGTTCTAATTCCTTTTGAGGTTTTTTTTCACTCACGTACAAATACAATTGGGGACGGTATGATTTCACACCTTCTTACCCCTGCTATAGGTTAATTAGTAACACTTGTATCACTAAACCATTATTATATCTCCACAAAAATTCTTAGAATCTAAAATTATTTTCTGGCTTTAAATAACCAGCAAAGGGTTGATAAGCCGTGCAATTCAATCAATCAATCGATTTTATTCCTGTCATAACAATTATTATACAATCCTCCTCAATTAGAGTTTAGTAAAACTTTGATTTTGCTAATATCGATTTTATCAGATTACGTGTGTATGCAAAACGCATATCATTTAAACGTGGGAAGTTGGGGAAATGGAACGAAAATGCAGTAATCAGTCTCATGTTCGGGTGTCGTTGTAGGTCCGCTGCGCAACTTAGCACCTGACCAGTTCTCTCCACACATCTAGGTTGAAAGCTGGAGAAGTATCCATCGATGTTTATCGTGTTTTGGGCGAGCAGAACTAGTGAAGCCTTTCTCCATCCCACACCCGATGGCTTTGACCTGAAGGTTTGCCTTGGTCACGGTACCGTAGCCATTGTTTCCAACAGATGTCCTGGTCGCTGTCTTCAGTCTAAGAAGCCCTTCGCCCATAGGCCTCATGTCATCACCACACTGACTGAGTCCTTAGCTATGGAACCCGGTCTAACCCATTGTGAAAGATGGCTGTTGACCTTACAAAAAGATTCATCTATCATTTGATATGCCTATGTTTTGTCACCCGTCTCTCCAAAATCGGGGTGGAGAGTAGCTTTTATCATCGGTGACCTGGCAATTTTGAAAGAAAATCTTTAAACGAATATTTAATAAATATTTCTTCTGTATTATTTATTTTCTAAATAAAATGTCAAATATTGCCATATATAGGCAATATTTCCCTTGATAAAATTTTATTTTTAAATTCATCGCGTTTTTTCAAAAAAAAATTATGCTTTTCTTTTATTATTTTACACCAAGCAAGGTGATAAAGCCGCTAAGACACTATGTGGTTAAGAATCTGAAACAGAAAAAAAATTCTTAAGAAGAAAGACCAATAAAAGAACAGGAATTAAGGAGACATAAGATGATAACTGATGTTGCATTTAAATTTTTGAAAACCACATTTGATTGGAAAGCAAGAAGTGAGAAATGCAAGTGAAGAACTTTTTAGCATAGAACTTACGGTTACAATTGGTAATTACAACTGCAAAATGATGAAGGCTGCCAATCAAGTATGAAATCGATCATAAACGAAAATGGCATGTTCATCATTAATTAATCATTAATTATTGAAATAAATTTCAAATATATATATATATATATATATATATATTAAAGGTGTGAATCATCTTCTCCTTTCAGCTATGGGTAAATAGCAGGACAGACTGGGTTCTATAGCCTTGGATGGCAACTGGTCTAGGAGAAGGACAACTTTGAATTCAAAACCTGCGGAGGGTCGTTTGGGGACCTTGTGGCACGTACTGCACAAGGTCTCTGTGTTCGGCCCTTCAAAAAGTGTGGATGGTCCTGCAAGAAACCTTCACCACTATAATAAAATCTCATGTGCTGTTGTTGGGCTGTCGATTTCCTGGTAACTGATCTGCGTGACCCTCGTACGTTGAATTCGACGGGAGAGTCGAGTATATATATATATATATATATATATAGAGAGAGAGAGAGAGAGAGAGAGAGAGATAGATAGATAGATAGATAGATAGATAGATAGATAGATAGATAGATAGATAACTATACTCGTTTCGAAAAGCCCTCGAATTTTTGATTTGTCAATAATCAAATCAATCTCAGTTTTCCCTGACGATCCGTTTAGGTGAAACCTATGTAGGTTTGTCTGGCTCACTAGGTTTATATATTATATATATATATATATATATATATATATATATATATATATATATATAATTGCGCGATCATTTTCCAATTTATTCAAGATGATCTTTGCCCTTTCTAACCGTCCAATATTCTGCACTGGAGTAATATGTTGCCTCACAGATTTCACGTACAATTTCATTTTCAAGTCTTTTTTCCCTTCTCTTTGAACTGTCAAGCTGCAACTCCTCTCTCACGTGCCAAACGTCTTATGGATTGAGTTGGATCTTTTCTAATTGATTTCTTTATCTCTAAGTTGAAATGATGCTCCTTCTTCCTGTTGTGACCTCCTGATCCAGTTTTCCGCTCTACTGTTCCTGCTTTTTAAAACTTATTCACAGTTTTCATTATTGTTCTTGAATGGATTAGAAGAAGGAAGCTAAAGTATGAATGTTGGTACCATTAGTGGAGGCTTGAATGAATTCCTCTCACCATTGCTCAGTTGGAAAGTCAGTGATTTTGACACAAAATAATTTTAACCTTTTCTCATTTTAGCTGAATAAATAGCTGGGTTTTTTCAGTGATTCTTACAACAATTGGTGTCAAGATAGCTATACGTCCTATCTGAAAACCTGGAAAAGAGAAACTCAATTAGTTTAATGGGGTTTTAGTAATTAAGCATTTGGGGGATGGATAATTATGCCGTTACACGATTTGGACAATTTTTTCTTCCACCCAGTATATGGGTACCCGATCGTACCCGAGTATGCTTGTCTTGTAAGATATCTTAAGCTCACCCCTGTAGACGTCAGCCAATATTCACCTGTTACTTCAACACTCACAGACCCAACCCATGCTGCAATTATGATGAGCAAACCATAAAGTTTTTGAAAGAGAGTGCGCATAATTTGCATGATCACCCTCGGCCACGATGACTTGTGGCTTCGTACTAGGATAAACCTCAACGGCTTTCGAACAGTTTCGTCAATCCAATTTCCCTCACAATGTTTGGGTCAACCTTTGTTATGGTTTTCAGGCAACGGTGGCGCATGATGGGATCGATTCACACGGGCGATATGACCTTTCTGACAAATCGACGATGTGTTTTTTTTTATTAATGTTCACCCAATACAAGGCCCACGAGCCACTCAAGGTAGAGTGTTACCACGTAAAAAAGGGCAAGATCCGGAAACTCAGTCCTAAAGAGGAAACAAGTGATGAACCTCTACTCCTGTTCAAAATACGAAGGAAGAGAATGAACCGGGCGATAGTCAGATCTATCTACTCCTACTGGAATAACAAAAATAATTACTGAATAAAATTTCAGATTTCAGGCGGAAACGTCAGAAGTACAATGTTGAAGGAACCGGAAACCCAAGAGATAAAACGCTATTCCTGTTCGAGAAATCGGGGAAGATTATGAACCGTACGATAGGCGATCCTATCTACTTCTATTGGGGAGATGAGAAAAATAATTAATGAGTGAAAAACAATGCCGAGTTCCGTAGCGGACCTACAACTAGACCCGATTCGGAGATTAGATTCACTTAAATCACTGACATTGTCTTTCCACTTCACCAAGGCGGAGATGTCAGATGTATAGAGTAAGTAGACTTTAGAAGGAACCGGAAACCCCAATCCTGAACAGGAAACATAGGATAAACTTCTACTCTTGTTCTGTTTATATTTCTTTCCACAGCTGCACGGGTTAGCGTACACACAGTCTTTAGTCATGTTTTCCTCCACAGGGCGTCTTACTCGGGAGAGATATCTTCGAAATATCGTCCAGTTTTTGAAGGTTGTCCTGATGTTGCATATCCATTGTATTTTCTCTGATAAGCCATTCACATAAGGCAGAGAGGCTGTTTTCTGAGTGTTGTTGTCCTCGTCTTGTGCCCGCCTATCCCAGTTTTTTCCCCCGAAGAAATATGAAGGGAAGACGAGCCGCTCCCTTAAGGTAAGGCTTCAAGAACACCAGAAAACTGTAACACGAGAGGTAGTGGAAAAATCAGGCGTGGCTGACCACATATGGAGAGAGAAGGGAGAGCACCACCCTCTGTGGAATCAGGTTGAGATCAGAGACAAAAACATCATTGGAAAATTCGTAAACTTAAGGAATCAGCACATATGTTAGGTCACAAAAATCTCCTGAGCCAACCAAGCATAGAAATGAATACAATATGGGAAACAGTAATAAGGAGTGCCAGAGAAAAGCGATAATAAGAACAAAAATTGCAATATGAGCTCTGGTAAAAACATGGATTGATAACAGCAGAAAAATTGCAATATGAGCACTGGTAAAAAAAAGGTTGCTAAGACATTACGTTTATAATACCCAAAAATTCATACACAGATATCCTCAGGGACACATGGCACAGTGGGTAAAGTCGTTAGTTAGATCCAGTGTGTGGGTTCAATACCCGGTTAAGACAGGGAAGAACTTGCAGAGGAGATAACTGATAACTGACATCCTTTCAACATGGAAAGTGGAACTAGAACAGTCTACCCCAGTAAGCGAAAAAAAGGGTTCAGTTCGACATTCCAACCACCTGAAGAAGGCCGAAACATTGTAATAAATATGGCGACAAAGATGAGGACAATAGTCCGAATAATGTAAATAGTGTACATAATACCTCATCTCAGAAATGTAGACAGATACAATAAAATCTTATAAGAAATTTTCTATGTGGGACAAATATTCACGTTACACTGAAATTTTAATTCGGATAATTGGTCATTTCAATAATCGGCGTTCGGATAAGCGAAGTTCTCGCGTTCTCTATTTCTCCGCAGTTTTCTCCGCTCTGCCATCCAATTGAACAAACTCGTTTTGAAATTTACACGCTGTTTGTTGTTGTTTCTTCTACCTTAAATAACCCCGTGAGTGCTAGATTTTCCACGCCTTCTCACCTCGTTATATATTTCCTGAATCTCTTCTATTTTTTCCGAATGTATGTATATATTTCTTTGTAGTTCCTTAAAACTTCTTTGTTTATCATTTGCACTGCAAGCAACGAGGTAGTCATAAAGAAAATAACAACAGAAAGAATACTTCTACTCAGTATCTTCAAAAAGCAATTGAACTTCCTTGTAAACTGTTGAAACTTGACTAATGTATGGAATAATAATGCAACACAAAATGTACTTAGAACAAAATGTATTGAAACAAGAAAATGTACACAATATTTACATATAGTCTTTTGTATATTCCTGGTAAGACCGTTCCTGGAGAATGTGTTGACTGAGTCGCAGTCGGGCAGAGTCTCTGGTTGAATCACTTGATTCCTCCCTCTCTTCCCGGTACCAACCATATTTATATGGTCGGTACTCCACTATGCAAATTAGGTGGATCCTACCACAACAGAAACATAATGGGGTTTGAGGAGTCTTGGAAAATTTAACCCTAACTCCATATTGAAAACAGTTGAGATAGTGGAAGGCGAGCCACTTACCTGACGAGCCATTGTGAATGGATAGCGGAACAGGTGGGGTTTTTAGCAAAGGGAGAATAAGAGAGCCACACGAGATAGGGAGTTGTCGAGAGGCATGATCGCCTATATACTGAAGGGACGCAATACATGAAAGAAGATATTTTCGGCTTTTGTTGGTAGAACCACATCGTCTCTTCATCTATAAAAATGTTGTCCAGCACTCACTGTCATACCGAAGATAGTTTAGGGCTTTCTCTTTCAAAGTTGTCCACTTTCCAGAATGGCGATCTAACAAGGCTGGGGATCTAGTTTTCTTTACAGTTTAACCCATAACTTTTTAAACAGTTTTTCCTAACCATATTATCTTACATCTTAATGCAGTACGTTTTCTCATGTAAATTATCAAAATTTCTAAATATAATAAGTCGTTTTGAAAGAGAGGTGCGAGCAGGTGTATCCTTGGAATGATGTAGGCCGGCTCTTCTTTTTCTTCTTCTTTTCTTCTTCTTCTTCTCCTTCTTCTTCTTCTTCTTTATGTCGTGTTCCGTCAGGACGTTAGTGATCATGGCTCTCCACAATTTCCTGTCCTTTGTATCTCTTAATTAATTTTGGCGTTTTGCTACCTCTCCCAAACCCTGTTTCATCATCGTTTTACTGAAGGTCTCTAGGAAGATTATGCGTTGGTTTCCTCTGTCGCTCTTAGCTTCGATCTGTCCTGTGAGTATCAAATTTTCCAAGCCTTCCTTTCTCATTATGTACCTAAGAAATTTCAGCTATCAACTCCTGATGTTGATTATGTTTCCTTTTTGTTTCCATTTTCAATAAAACTTCGTCGTTGATCACATTCAGTTTATGGTATTCTCAGTATCCTTCTGTAGAATCAGATTTCTATTGTTTCAAATCTGTTCTCCATCTGTGAGTGGATTATGGGCTGGTTACACAAGTAATTAAGAAATTGGAAAAAAAAGTTTCCACGAAGAATATTTCGGGCAAGTTTTATACCGAAGACATATTTTCAGAGGATTCTCTGTAACTGACGTTTAGTTTTACATTATTATTATTATTATTATTATTATTTATTATTATTATTATTATTTATTGCAATGAGAAACAGAATTTTCCCATTACATGCCATCATTATTCTTACATTACAACACTAGCAGGCAACATATTAATGATGAGTACAAAAATGCTGATGATTTTACGATCAGAAATACTGAACAATATGGTAGGGAAATGGACAATGGCGTTAGGTGAGTTGACAATTATTAAACATCTTATAAAGATGGCGTTATTGAGATGAAAATGTCAAAGGTCAACCGTATTACATCGCGGCGGACGAGGCTGAGCGTTGTCCGTTATTGATGTTTGCGTTCACGCATGCGCGTCGCCTGTGTTCGTCAAGCGCGGAGCATATGAAAAGACATGGCCTTCGGCAGTTTCTAGATCCCGTTGCAAATGGCGACGTCTCCTTGTTCCTCATTAACTTCCCGGGCACAAGACATAGTAAAATTTAGAGTTGCATATTTGAAATATCTCTCAGATGGATGCTTTTCGGTTGCATAATAAGGAAATCAATCTAGCAGAAATGATACAGACGCATGCGCCGTATGCTCACTCGCTGATTAAGTGAATAATGACCAATCAGAATCCAGACATCTATTTCGACACATACACACGCTCAGACACGCACACACACACACACACACACACACACACACACACATATATATATATATATATATGTGTGTGTGTGTGTGTGTAGGGCGAAAGGTGTGTGTGTGTGTGTGTATGCGCGTGTGTGCGTGTGTGTGTGTGTGTGTATTGGTCTCAAGCAAGGCAATAATGCCACTAGAATGTTAGGGAATGTTACAAGAAGTGAAAGAGAATGATAAAACTATGTAAAACTATGGACAGTAAAAGAAAAGACATTATTGAAGTTTGTAATTGACAAGGAAGCAAGAAATCAGAAGGGATTTCCACAAGCGAGAAAAACAACAAAAGAAACTATTAAAATAGAAGCTACGGTTGCATCTAGCTAGCTCAACAACAAATGGTGAGACCCTATTGTCAGGCAGAGGGGAACTATTTCACATCAGTGTGAAAGTGACAAGTAGAGATACCATATAAGCACTAATAATATTACATAACCTTTCGGGAATTTTATACGGCGATGGAATCATAGACTGTCAATTTTTCCAGTGTAGACATACGCACAAAATGCAAACATTGACGGATATATTTATATACGAGTAGATATAGAAACCTAAGAATAAAAGAAAAATTATAAATATGCGTCTTCAACATAGGCACTCTTCATGTCAATGCACTTGATATTTGATTGAGTAGTGACTATTAATTACAGTAATTATCAAAAGGCACCTAATAACATTGTTTCAAGACGAGTAATTATGCATACACAGACATGCACATAGGTTTGATGAATTGGATCGTGATTACGATTCCAATGTAATAAGTTATAACCATGGGATATTAGTGTTTGAGTCTTTTATATTATATTCTTACTCTGTCCTGGATTCTATCCACTTGGTAATTTATGTATACACACACACACACACACACACACACACACACACACACATATATATATATATATATATATATGTGTATGTGTGTGTGTGTGTGTGTGTGTGTGTGAAAAATATATAGAGAATAGGAAAGAACTCGTTAAGTAAATAATCCAAAGTTCTTTAGTATTTTTGTTATTATTTTTTAAAAATAGTGCTCGATACATAAGTAGAGCATAAATATAATTATTTATTTAAAAATATGATTCCAACACGCTACATAAGATTTCTCATGTTTCAAACATATATATATGTAAACACTTGTTCGAACACAAGAAAAGTTAGATGAATAATTAATAATAATTAAATATATATATTTGTCATGTATATGTCAAATATGAATTTCATTTCACGTTATAATTTATTTCGTTTATATCTATATATTCAACTCTTCAGACAACCTCTTCTTTTCTTTTATTATATTTTCCGCCGGAAGTATTGAATATATAGATATTCATCAAATAAATTATAACTGAATATTTAAAGTTTTCTTCATGATTTTTATATATATATATATATATATATATATATATATATATGCATGTGCGTGTTGTGGGGTATAAATCTTTTCTACGTTACTAGACGAGTCGTTACAGAAAGATTGCCAGTTCTTACGACGAGGACCTGGAAATGGAATATTCTGTTAGTATAAACATAAGAAATAAAAGGCCACAATTTCTGCCTTAAAATGATTTTTAACACACGGATTGATTTAGCTCGCAGGTAAGTGGATAGACAGAGCACTTATGCAATATCAAATTCTTAATTAATTTTCGTTATTTTGGGACGAAACAGCTAAACATTGTTTTTGCAGAAGTCGTTTTCATTTATTCATTGTATATACATTCATTCACACACACACACACACACACACACACACACACACACACACACACACACATATATATATATATATATATATATATATATATATATATATATATATATATATATATATATATATAAGTGCGCAGGTGTGCAGAAAATGCGTTGGGTAGATAATCTGGAGTTCCTTAGTGTTTTTGTTTTTTATTTTTAAGAAGACAGTGCTTAGAATTTCGCATGAAGATGAAACGGGACTAAACATATCAATTCAACTTAATTTTAATAATTATTTGGATGGTTTCGGCCCTCGTTTTTGAAACATGAGAACTCTTATGTAGCAAAGGAATCATATATTTAAACAAAAAATTATTATATATATATATATATATATATATATATATATATATATATATATATTAAAATTTGTGTATATAGTCAGCAAATTCTCTTTTTGGCATGTCTGATTAATTAAACTACAGAAAATATGTTTGCTTATTTTTAATAAAATTCGTTCATACCCATGGATAACCTTTCATGCATTGCAATTAAATGATGCAATTAAATGACGCAAAAAATGTGCTATAACTCTGAAAATAGTTTTTATTTTCCATTTCCCATGTATTTTCGATTTTCTTCCGAGATCAGGGGTGCAAATAGGACTTGGGAAATGGGATTTGCACAGTTATAGCACATTACTCAAATCATTTAATTGAAATACACGGAAGGTTATTCGTGAGTATGAACGAATTTTATTAAAAATAAGCAAACATATCTATAATTTTTTAATCATGCATATATATATATATATATATATATATATATATATATATATATATATATATATATCGATATTTTTGACTTCGTTATCACTTTAAATAGTTATAGACATGCATTCAATTTCATTTAATATTTAATTTAAACCGTTAATCTTTTAAGTTATTAAACATTCATATCTCTTAACATTAAGTCTTATTTACAAGTCAATTAACCTCTGCATTTTTTGCCATTTGCTGGGGAATGCCTATCTATCTATCTATCTATCTATATATATATATATATATATATATATATATATATATATTAGCTCTCGATAAAATAATTTAATAAAATAATTTAATCGGTCAAGCGCTGTGGGTATTAAGGAATGTATTTGCAAACAGTCACTATTACTGCTGATAATGCAAGACTCTCCTAACAAGTAGCGAGTTCTCTTAGACACTGGTTTGTTTATGAAAAAATAAATGCACAAAAATTCACCTTTCCCTCTGCCGAGCGTCGATGGCCTATGTGTTAGAATCTCTGACTGATCCCAAATCGATCGGGTTTCAGCTTGAAGCGATCGGATGTCTAGCCATTCACTGACTCGCTGAGTATATATAAATAGCTATTATTATTATTAGAGCCGTAAATATTTATTTATCTTATGCAGCGTTATAATAGAACATGCACGTATCCACTACAAAATTGTACATTTTTGTTTCGACTTCAAAAAAAGGAAAAAACATTTTTAGACCTCTCATCAGGTGGGGAATTACGGTTTTACTAACAGTTAGTAGTAATTTTGTACAATTTTGTAGTGTATATTTTCATGTTCTAATGTAACACTGCATAATATATATATATATATATATATATATATATATATATATATATATATATATATATATATATTGATACATGTTTCATTAAATAATATAGACAAGTGTTGTCTATTTATTTTATGTAAATTCTTTTCATAACGTCTGATAAACTTAATAACATTATCATTAAACGAAGAAAGAAAATCACAATATTGATACATATTTTTTAATCCAATCTAAGCTTTCGGCTTACATAAGCCATTATCAAAGATGTCAATTACTGTACAAGATATTAAGCAATATACGGACAAGACAGTGATGATCGTCTGTGATTGTTTACATGGATGATTTCCAAGCAACGATAAATACGTGCATATAAGACGGTAGAAGCGAAAATCGCACCGCAGCTCATGACGTCAGACATGACCACGCGAGAGTTAATTCGAGAAATATTAAGTATGGGAAGCCGTTGGTATAAACCAATGGCTTCTGTTACCAATTACAGACATTTAAAGATATCTGTGTGGATTTCATAGTTTATTTTGTTTAGGTTAGATTTCAACAGTTTTATGTATATAGCTTCAAGAATTTTTAGTTTTTGTTTATTGTTTTCATGTTTAAGTATAATTGTGTTTTCGACAAGGATTTTATGGAATTGTGTATGCGGTCAGGTATGTTGTTTTAAATGCCTATATATATATATATATATATATATATATATATATATATATATATACGATGACTGTGTGAAAAATAAGGGACTTGTGTCACGAATAACTTCCTTAAATTTTTCAATTACAAACAACAAACTACATGGTTTTCCTTGAAAATAAACCACCTCGACTCTAATGCACATCCTTCTTTTCTCTGTTTCTGTGCACTGCAGGAAGGATTCTTTTTGGATGCCCCTTCAGCACCGTCGTTACGTCTTTCTCGATGGCCTCCACGCCTTGAAAACCTGTCCCTTTGATGATCTTTATGAAAATTTGAAAAGAAAAAAAATGTCGCAGGGAGCAAGAATAGGGAGGTTTTTCAAATACGGAGAGTTTTGTTTTTTCTCGGCCGGAAAGTCCAGGATGCTCAGGACGTAGTAAACAGGTGCATTGTCGTGGTGAAGCAGCTATGATTTGTCCTGTCACAAAATCATATAAAAAAAAACAATCCAATGGTTGCAAAAAGCTAAGATTACAGTTATAGACTCCCAAGATATCATGTTAGATGATAACACAATCTGCTTATCTGTTTTTCGCCCACAGCTCACACATCACGCCCAGTCCCGTTACTTCTCAGATAACTCAGCATATGATGTGGCAGCATCACCGGTAACTTTGAAGAGATGGGGATTGCAAGGATCACCCTCCTGTCGGTTGTGTGGTGCATATGGAAACCTGCGCCACACACTGTCATCCTGCCCGAAGGTGCTACAGAACGGCTGGTACACCTTCAGACATAACTTGATTCGGGAGGTTGTGGCAGCAGCTGCGAGAAGT